CTGTTGGTCAAGGGCCTACCAACAACCACACACGTCAAAATAAACTACCGCACAAAAAGGAGATGACAAAACTAACAAAGCGACCGGCCAGCTTAGTGAAGACGGCGTGGATCAACAGCTAAGTACACTAACAAAGTCCAACGAGGAGAAAAACACCACCAAGTAAATTTACTAACGCCGATATAAACAAGAATCGCAAGACAACAACTTAACAGCAAAGTCGAACTACTTAAGACAATAAAACAATATATGTTTTTGGGTGCACCCGAGGTGTGGTCCAACCGAACTGGTTACGAACCCACTCGCACTACTCCCGTGCTGCCAGCGGTAACTTTAACCCGCCTGTATGACTGGGCTCTGGGTGCGGGATGCTAGAAGGATGGGTAAGGACGTAACGAGGGTAGTGACACTGTCGGCACGACAAAACGTACGCAAACAATATATACACGAAGTGATATTTATCAGTTTCTCGGTCGGGTGTGGGTACTCAACTTCGGTGCTCCTCCGGATGATCCCGACGCCAAACTCTGGTTCCGCCACTGGAATATAAAAAAAATCACCTATTTTGCACTGGGCTTCGACTGCCTTTAAACAAACCCCGACTGGCTTAAAACTTTCACTACTTTTCACAAGGCTTCAACTGCCCTCACTTGCCTCGCCTGGCAAAACAGTAGTTATTTATTCTTATTATTAATATTTTATTTTCCTATTTTGTAAATCACACAAAACAATTCGAACGCCTAAGTAAAAAAGAATGTTCGCTCTTTGGTAGATTGCTGGAATCTGATCCGGCACGCACTTGCGAGCCAGGCCGCAAGCTACGCGTTGGTCTTCGAAATTCTCCTGCGAGTGTGTATTGGTGCCCAATCATTTGGCGCCGCCCCCATTACCCAAAGGGACCGGGTTGTATAGCGCACGCCACCATGGCACAGCAAGTACACTGGGATAATTTTTCCCCTCGCCGCATGAAAGAAAAAGGCGACACCCCTTTTTACGGAATTCCCGCGCAAAGCATTCCGTTGCCCTAATATTTGTTAGTGGGGCAACCGTTTTGGGGAACACCTCCTTTTGGAGACTTATACCACTGGGTAGGCACACACCGAAAGCAACCGTGCTATCAATCCATGGCTTCAAATAATGCAGCTATTCGCCGACAAATGTCAACGCCAACGCTTGGAGTGAAAGGAAGCTTAGGCAAAACAAATGAATTGAACATACAAACGCAAAAGAAGTTTTTGTTGCGGCCAGTACGCGACAAACTGAAGCAATATTTCTGCCCCAGGCTCGGAGTTGATAATTCCTGCTCTAGATGTATATCGATTTTTTGTCGGAATAAGTGAAATCTAATCTTTCCAGAATGCCTTAGAATTTTAAGACTGTATTATATGAGCTAAGCACGGAGTCAGCACTGACTACGATTTTGTTGCGCAGTATTGCGTTTGCTTGGAAGTACATATTTGGAACTTCCTGAAAAGAGTTCGAAGAGCTTGTGAGCTGTCACTACAGCCTATCGCCAAAAAATGTATAAATTCACCTACATATGAGTCTCGGAGCAGCGATATTCCAAGAGGTGTGCCAGATACTGGCTAGACGGAAAGCATGAACGATCCTCAATCAGATGCTATGACAGAACTATTAAATTCTGGAAGAGAACCAGGGGTAGTCCATGGAAAAACATCTGGTTGATTGGGATATCTACATACTTCCGCAGTACTCGAAATATCGGGTAAAACAACAGAAAGTGGGCTTCGGTAATGCGAAAAGAAATGGGAAATAGTGTATAACGTCCTCGAAGAAGATCCAAGAGAGATACCTGCTCTCGTAAAACAGCGAGCTCAAATTGTGAGAATAAGACGGAGGCCAAGTCTAGCAATGAATGTTGCTATGCAACCATCTACGGAATGAAGGTTTGTCCTCGAAACATCAATGCATAAGGTTATCGAACGACTTAATGAAAGTCTACAATTCGCAAAGGCTTGCAGCGCTTAGAACAGCAATGTGTTTCATTGGAACGATCTGGCTTACTTGTATAACAGAGCGACGAAAATGTCTGTATTGCATAAACTCGGATGACTAGAAAGAGAGGCCGATAACTGAAGCACATTCTAGAGCACGAGTATCAAATGTTCTTTAAATCATTAGAATATGTCAGTAACTGCCAGAGCTGAGTACCTCATATAAGGGAGCAGCCAACATAATTTAGTTCATTTTAAAAGCTAAATCATTGGTCTCAACATTGTGGCAAAATGAAAATAGTGGAGTAGGAACGTTGTAAAATAAGCCATAATAAAAAAATCGTAATTTATTAAGTAATACAAAAATTTTGATTGTGTTTTTTACAACTAAGAAATTGCATAATGAATTTTGTGAATTTATTCAAAGAACTCGAAGGATTTGGGAAGTCATCGAGTTGTATTTAACGAAAGTCGTTCTATTAATGTAAGCTGCAAATATCCCGGTAAAACCAAAGTGAAAATATCCACTTTTGCGGATGACACAGCCAATTTTGACGAAATAAATATTTCGTCGAAAAAACATTTTCATTTATAATATGCCCACAAACATTTGCAGGATTCTTCTTCTTTTTCATTGGCGTTGGCACCGCTTACGCGATTATAGCCCAGTCAATAATATTACCCTAATCGGTTCTTATCTTCGCAGTTTGACGACGTTTGGAAATATCAAGTAAAACCATATCGTTTTTCACCTGTTCTTTCCAACGGAGTGGAAGTCGTCCCCTTCCTTGGCTTCCACCACAGGGTACTGCAACGAGCCCATTATTCCTCTCTTCTTTTCGCTGTCTGGCCACTGTTAGAAATACCAAGTGAAGTCAGGTCACTCTCTACCTGATCTTTCAAACGCGTTGAAAAGGAATGGAGCGATGAACCACAATAATGTCACCGTATAAATCGTTCGCGAACATTTTTCCCTCGAATACTTCTAAGGTCACCTCACCCGCCCATTTGCTGCAGGACGAATATGTCGAGCGACTTGTAGAAATTGGTGTCTGTTCGTCGAAAGAAGATTTCACTTTTGAATTGCCTACTCAGTCCAAAGTAGCACCTGTTGGCAAGAGTGAGTCTGCATGGCGATATTATTGGTGTTAATTCTGAAAGGAGATGTTTCTACTCCTTTATCAAGTCTGGAGAAAGCAGATGCGCTGTTGTTGACGCCTATGATAGCAATATCATGGACATACGCAACTAGTTGGGCACTCTTGAAAAAGATTGTACCTCGTCTTGTCTTGCCTTGTAGACGGCATAGAGTCACCTTGTCTGAAACCTCTTAATACGGCGCGTCAGTTCACACAGCCGTATAAGTTAAACGGGGACAAGGCCCATCTGATAATGTCCATTTATTTTGTGCGCATTGGGCTTTAGTCGTCCACGAAAAATCACCGCTAGGACCTTCTAAGCGATGTTAAGGAGGCTTGCCAACGGTAATTGGCGCGAAATGATAGATCACCCTTTTTCTGTATTGGACAGAATACACTTACTTTCCAATTGTCGGGCATGCTTTTATCCGACTAAATTTTGCAAAGCAGCTGATGCGTGCACCTTGTCAGCACTTTACCGCCATATTTGAATAGCTTTTGCGGTAGGCGTACATGTAGTGGAACGTTTTTCCAATCATCATAGATTGTGATTTCGGGCTCACCATCTCCGGGTGTTTCATTTTGCTCGCCATTCAGCAGGCTGAAGAAGTGTTCGCTCAATAAATTCAGTATACTTTTGGTATTCGCCACGGGATCACCAAGCTCTCGGTATCTATCTCACCCCTCACGGGTTGGAATTAATCGCAAAGTTGCAAGGTGGGCAGTCTGTTTTCACATCACTCTCTCCACAGAGGTGCGTGCTTATCTGCGCTGCGACAAGATAGTAATCTGAGTCAATAATAGGACCTCGAAACAGTGAAAAAACATTGAACACATATTTTCCCCCTATCACAACATGATCGATCTGGAGACAGGCCGGTAATTTTGTGAATTTCCTGATGTTTGAAACTAGTATTAGAAACAACCATATTTCGGGACACGGCGGAAGTGATCAGCCTCAATACAATTCAGGATGTTTACTCGTTGAGACTGAATTTTCTGACCGTTGTGCCAAAGATACCTTCTTTGCTCACGTCAGCATTAGATTTGGTCACATCGTCCATCTCTTCCGTCGGGCCATGGGCGTAAATCAGCCCATGCGTGGAAAAGTTTTGCTTGTTGGGCTCCTTTATATGACTACTGTAGTAAATGCCAGAAGAACCCACCTTGGTTCGTCTATCGCACTTCTTGGAGGGCGGTGATGTCAGCCTTTAATTCGACGAGGAAATCAGACAGCTATGTAGCCCCATGTCATATATATATACGTAACTGGCGCTTTGTAACCGCTGAAGCGGTCGTTTTGCGTCTTGATGCTTTTCCAACAAATGGAGGGAACTACGGTTTATACTAAACCGCCTCCAAACAGCTGATAGTTTTTTTTTACTAGGACCCTTTATTTTATGTCCGAAAAACAGTCGGAGGGGTGGGCATTCCCGGGGCGACCGCAATTAGTTGTTTTTTTTTAATTAATTTTCCAAAACTTTTGGATGTTTGTGGCACCGGGATATGAATCCGAGCCTTCCGAATGTCAGTACGCAATGCTAAACTCTCAGTTACCGCTGCCGCTCACGGCACCTTCCCAATTAAGAAATCGGACGTTCCATGTGCATACCCTCGAATCGGCAAAAATTTTTGTATGAAATTAAAAGAAGCTAGCTAAATTGGTATTACATAACATCGCGGCGCAGTTAAAAAGCCAATTTGAATGCATATTAATAAACTGTGGAGTAGGATCAGCGCAACTAATATTGAGAAAATACAGACTCCAGTCCAAAATTATAGGGTAATAACGGGCCCGGTCGTAACTTAAATATATTGTACATAAAGATCTTAGTATCGTACTGGTTAAGAGAGAAGTTGAAAGCAGCATAACGAAGTATCTCACAGAACTGTTCAGCCTAACTCGTTAGCTAAAGCTTTGTGCAACCCATCTAGATGAGATGAATCAAAATATATTTATTATATAAAACTTTCCATTAAAATGTATAAAACAGATCGAAAGCAAATATTATAAGGAGAATATTAATTATTTAATTATGGTAGTATTTTGTAACAGTTTCTCAGATGCTTGCCGTAAGATTCGCAAATCACGTTCGAAACTTTGGTTTTCATGCTGGTGCTGCTCCGTGCTCAGGTTGCTTTGAAATACAGCTTTTATAGACGCATGGGTTGTGTAAACATTCTGTATCCCTTTAAACAGTAGTTTTTTATCGTTATGATCGTGATCATGGCCATAATCTCCGCAACTGTCGTGGCTGTGTCCATGCCCTTCTGAGCCTATTTTAAAAAAAAGATGAAATCAAAATAAATCATTTAATTCTTAAAAGTATTATATGCGAAAATAAAACCAGGTTGGGTAAGACAATTAATTTCAGGTCAGAAAAATTCATGTACACAATATTTGAAAATGTTATAAAAATCTTTATGTACTAATAATAATGATTGTTGATAAATTACGAAATATTGCTTTTGTAGGTTTTAGGATTTGACAGACCTATTTGCACTGTTACCGATAAAGTAAATTTCTTTATTTTTTTTTAACATCCAAAATTGAGTTTGATATTTCAGCGCACAAGTTACATTGTTTGACAAAACATTGGCTGCGCTGTTTTTCCGTCCATGTTAAATTACATTTGTCAATTTGTATAGAATATTCTCATCCAAATGGAAGGCGGGAGCAACAAAATAAATATATTTTATTTATTTGTTTATTAAGTCATAAATAATTGAACCGTGAAAACTATGCGAGAGTTTGCCAGGCTTTGAAACAAATTTCCTGTAGGGGGTTAGAGAGGGCCATATACATCACAAACATGTATATCATTTCCTGAGGTAACTTATAGTTTCGAGCAATTGGTTGTCAATGTTAAAATTTTAACCAACCGAAATTCTTGAAATTCACACGGAACACTCATAATAATGCCCAATAACGTTTAAAATAATTTTTTTTAATTATTTTCTTAAAAATAATATTAGTATTTACCATCCTTTTTTTTCACATAAATAATGAATTCTCAAGTTTATTTACTTTAGTAAATTAAATGACGCATAAGTGTCCATTGGAATCAGCAAGACCCACATATAGTAAAATAAAAAAAATGTAGTAATTATTAAGTCATAGCGCCAATATTTAAAACATCGCTTTTGCCAATCAGACGGATGACTGAATAAACTCAAGAATCCTGTAATAAATATATTAAAAATGTCGAGAAGACTTTGTACGGAAAACTTCTCATACTATAAACATGGAAGACAATTTTTGTCTGCTTTTAGTATCATCAGATCTATTAATATCTAGTTTAAGGAAATCACTTTATAAACTGATGCGACTAAATAGCTGAAAGCGCCAGCTTATGATAATACAAGTTTAAATACCAATTCACCATCAACTTGTGAAAATTAATCGGTACAATTCTCAGATGACTATTATTAATTTCGATTGTTAAATATGTTTAAATTATTGCATGCTCAATAATACATTTCATTGAAACCTAAATGTTTTTGTACTCCATCTCCAGTAGTCTGCATTTATGATTTTGTTGTGTTAATAAAACCAGCTTCGTAACCAGAGACCCCAAAAGCCCGAGTAACGATTTTTTCAATCAATTAATAATTTTTTAGTTTTGGTCACGTTTTTGGCTTATGGAACCACTGTGCGCCATATAGCGGAACCCGATTGGAAAAATAATGGATTGCTTTTTACCACACCTGATATATAATTGGCGCTTCGGGAATGCCGACTTCTCCTCGTATATTTCTGAACAAAATGTAGTTACATCCATTGTTTGAAAAAATATGAAGATGCACACCACAATTTGGAGGAGAAACTTGGCCGAAAAACCCTTTAACGGTTATAAAGCGGTAACTATGTAGATATAAATACAAATAACATATATATTTTTAACTCAATATATTGTACGAGGGAGTGTAGGGTGTAGTTTTTCACGACACTGTGAATAATAAAGCAAAGAATAACTTACCTACTTGTTGTATGCCAAACATGACTAGAAAGCCGACCAGCAAAGTTAGGAAGGCAAAAAGTCCAGCGTGATTTTTTGACAAAATTTCAAAGAATACTACGTATAATAGTGTTCCACATGCCAATCCCTGCAGTATGGCCGAGGCAATGGTGGGTGATGTTATGTCTTCGCTATGGCTAATAAGTATGCCAATACCTATGCCAAGCGGGCTGACCACTGCAAATGTTAGAATGTAGACTATGCAGAGAACGAAGCGTGTACGAGCAACAATTAGCTCAACGCCGACGCAAAATGCCAATACGAGTTTGTGCGCGGACACAGCACCAAACATAAACCAAACATCTGTTCCACTACTCTCTAGGCCAATAGCTATGCCTTCGAATAATTCATGCAACGAAAGCGCCAAAACTATAAACAATCCACGCAAAGACGATGCAAGGGCGTCCTCATTACTTCCTCCGGGATAAAGTGTAAAATGTGAATGGCTGTGGCCATGTTGATGCTGATGACCATGATGTTTATAGTGGTTCTGTTGTTTCTGTACGGTTTCATAACTCCGTAGCTCCTCATGTTGAACCTGTTGGTTCTCTAAATCATTTACAATTAAATTTTGGATTGATAGTGAAGCTGGCCGGCCTGACATATTTACACCTTTCCCTGAGACACTCGGTGCATTGCAGTCATCTATCACTGTGGAATTGTTATTCTTCAATTCGGGAGCGTCATTGTCAGCATCTTTATAAATATTTTTTTCGTCTGTCTTTTTGTTACCCTTCACTAAATAGCTATTTCGTATGCTACGACCTCTTTTAAAGGCTGCGCTAGCGTCACAATTCATTAAGCGCATATGTCGATGTATATATGTATGTAGAGCCTCTTCAATAAAATACATGAGAAAGAAGCCGGTGCACATGAGCAATTCTGGCAAATTAAAGCTAAGCTTTGGTATTACGCTGCAGTTCTGCAACTGAACGACTACGTCTTGTACCTCGGGTAACAAATGTAGGAATGTAGTAGACAGAAGCACACCTCCACCGAAATATAATAAACATTTAACGACCGTAGCTGAACGTTCATTTGCATGGCCCTCCGTCCATCTAAAAAAACGGTTTAAAACGAACGGAACGCTGCCGCAAAATGTACTAGCACAGAAGAGTACAACTATTGCTGTAGCTTTGGCAATTATGAGATCACCATTACTTGAGTTATTGTCGTCACGCTCCTGACCATTATAGTAGTCGTGATTGTAATCACTTGAATCTCTGTAGAAGGCAAGTTCGTTATGCGCGGAGGTGAAATTTCTACCATTTGTATCAGCTGCAAGTGCATGTAATGCTAAATAATTGAAGTCGTCGATTTCCGGGAGACAACGCAAAAAGTTGTTTATTAAAGAGTGATTCATTCTGCTTTAGATCTTCTGTGTTCAAGCGGAGGATCAATTAATAACTTATAGCGATCTTTTTATTTTATTCCACGCACAACTGTAAAGGTAATAGAAAACAACAAAATTAATTAATTAGAGAAAAAAGTTATATAGATAAATTAAATATAGAATCTTTGAACCAACCCTTCTAAAAAACTGAAAGCTTTTTCCTTTCGCCTGGCGAGTTCGAACCCAACACTAAGATAAATTGACTAAGCACAGAATGTGCATCTAAAAATTGGGCAGGCATAGTTACCATGTTACTATGTAATAAAGCAGGTCTGCAAAAAACTTAGCATTGCTTACTGCATGAAAACATTAATGGGAATGAGCTAAATTGGAGAGTTTTCTTTTTTTCTTTGAAATATATTTCAACTCAAGTAAATTTTTATGAGCAAATTACAAATAGTTAATAAATTCTAATTTTCTTGTGACTTTATTTAAACGTTCGGATTAGGATCCCAAAGACCCATAAAATACCAAATTTAATTGTACTTCGCTATTTAAGCCCATTTTTGTATAAAGCTCAGTTATACGCATTCATTGAATAGTTATAAATAGATGAATAGATGCGAATACGAATATCGCTTCTTACAAAAGTCGTCTACGGCTCATTGATCTGCCTATACTCCAAAGTCGTAGAAAGATGCTTGGAGTTTTTTAACATAAAATGTCACTTGTTTTCAACCCCCGTCAATTCCTCTCTTCACTGTTTGGGGCCAATCGGAAATAGCAAGCACAGTAAGATCTTTGTCTGCCTTTTCATTTCAACGGAGATCTTGCTCTCACTCAGCTTCCACTGGAGCATACTGCATTGAAACCACACAAACTAAACAGGGCAACCGCTGTTTCTTGATTCACTGAACTATGTCAATGTCGCTGTATACCTCGTACACTCATAGTTCAGTATTCGCTGTTCCTAAGTCGCAGATACCATAAATCTTACGTAAAGCCTTTCTCTCGAGAACTCCTAAAGCCGACTTATCAACTGTTACCGCATCGTCCATGCCTCCTCACCATAGAGATGAACAAGTCGGACATCGTTCTTTCGTCGAGAGAGGAGTTTACTTTTATTTGCTTACTCAGTCCAAAGTAGCACCTGTTAACAAAAATGATTCTGCGTCGGATTTCCATGCTGACATTAATGTTAATACTATATCCAAAAAGGACAAACTAATCTACCACTTCAAAGTCATAACTATCAACAGTGACGTGAAAGTCGATTCGCATATGCGATGACTGCTTATTTGATGACAGGAGATTTTTCATCTAGCTCTCGTTCACTACTAGACCCATTCACTTCGTTCCTTTATCAAGTCTGAAGAAAATAGAACTCTTAACCTGGTTGATGGTCGATCGCAACGTTGAGCAAACACAGGTCAATACCATTGGATACATGCCATCCTTGATCTGGTTTTGAGCTTCTCGATCTTGGGCTAGCCAAGAAGTTGGAAGAGTTTTGTTTTTCTGAAATTTAGTACAACAGAAAACAAGTCGAATGCTTCCTTGTGGTGCCTGAATTTTCCGAAAATTGAACCGAAGATATCTTATAATATGGCGGCGGCGATAGGACTTAAGACTTTCCTGCGGGCACCCATGAAAGCCATCCATGATCATGTCGTCTTTGTGACTCTTTTTCGGCCAAGTTTCTATTGAATATTTCAATTTCTATGAGGAGCTTTATATTTCATGCCAAAATGCACTCGTAGGGTTGATATTCCGTGCGAAGGAGCAACCGTAATTATAAAAAATAATTTAGTTTCTTTTTAATAAAAGTTTTGTTATTTTGGTGATAGGGCCAGGGCTCGAACCCATAAGGAGTAAAAGATTTTTCCTCCAAACCGTATAACTTTAATGTAAAGTAAATGATTTTTTTGGGTTAAATTTTTACGCTAATTTCCTAACGAACATTTTTTAAAATAAAATATCTCGCAAATCGATGCCAACTTAACATTGCATATGATTTGGAGTAAAAGTATTTTTTAAATATTTTACAAAAAAAAAGGTCTTTGATTTGTGTTTCGGCTCAAAGACACACAGAGATGGTTTGTCAACACAAGAACGTACATTGCTTACGTACGAGAAAAAGGGAAGTTCGAATTAATTTCCAATATTCCCATATCATTTGTTATTCCTCTGCATGTTGCACTGGAGTTTGATCATCGTGGGCATCATGTTAATCCTTTTAATAGCAATGATTTATGTATACATGATTGGCTTTTTGTAACAGCTTCTTCTCCAATTTGTGGTACAGGAATTGATGTTCTTTCAAAAAATGGAGGGACCTACAGTTTATACTAAGCTGCCTACGTCATAATACCGTGGCCGCCGCGTGGTTAGCATTGCTTACAGCCAATCGGAAGGGTAGGGTTCAAATCCTGTTGTCATACTAGTATCCAAAATGCTATTGAAAATTTATTTAAATAATAAATAAAATTAAATTTTTTAATTGTTCTCGCCCCTCGGCAGGGAATGTCCACCCCTTCGAATGTATTTCGGATGTAAAACAAAGCTCTTCATTAAAAACCATCAGCCGTTTTGAGGCGGATTATTGTAAACTGTAGGTCCCTCCATTTGTTGGAAAAACGTCCAGATGCAAAACCACAAATTGCAGGAGGAGCTCAGACGACAATCGCTCAACGGTAACAAAGCGCCAATTATACGTGTATATGTATATGTAATACACTCGGAGAGATTTATTGTGGAAAATGTGTTTTTTTTTTCAAACTTCCAAAAAATTTGGAACGCTCCATCTTATGACGTATTTTTTGTTAGCTCGTATTGAAGAGACTCTCATAAAACACAAAAAAAATTGGTTCGCGTGATTCAAATGCGTTGCACCGTTTCACGAGTTCAGACTGCATCCGCTTCAGAAAACTCATTACAAAATTGGAAAACTTCAATATTTTCAGATACTAAAAAATGTTTTTTGAAGCTTAAATAGTAATTTCTGAAAATTTTGCTTACCGCAAAAATTTTCTTCCCTTTCAAAAAAAATTAAGTTATAATAATATACTGGATTTATGCAAGAAGCCAAAGGGCTTAAGAAAATACTTTAACTTACAGTAACCGTTATACTATTTCAATCTTAAAATCTTCAATACTATACTACGTGTAAATGATTTGTTTTGGTTTCTCTTTCTTAATATAATGTGAAACTCCTCTCAAGGGTACTGAATTATAATTTATTATATTTCAATTTATATGTATGTATGTACATGAGTTTGCATTGAAAAATATATGAAAAACATTGCTTATTAACTTAAATCTAAATTATATACATAAAATAAAATTAATTGGGAAACCTGAATTATAGTAAGGTGGATAATGTAAGGTTAAGGAGTTAATGTGATAACCACCAAACTTTGTTTTGCATCTGCCTAATTTGAATTTGCCTTTTTGTAATTATGAGTTATCGAAACAACTTTTAAACTATGTAGGTATAGATTTACCAACTAATTTTACATTCGCTCTTCTATATATTAGATACATATATAATTGGCACACCTTCATTATTTTGAATGAGTTTTTTCCTATATTGGTATAAAAATATTTCGGGTTGAATAAAACCATTGTTTATTGCCATTTCAACATATCTATCATCACAATTGAAAGGTGCTCTTATAAATATGTTTGTTTCTTCTTCCAGGCAGCGTGTAATATGGTTCCTCATCAGGGATGTCATTCTTATGTTAATCCTCATTAATTCAACTGAAGCGTGTGATCTTTTATTTAATATAAATTTTAAGTAGTTGCTAGTTGGTGTTCGGTAAAGAAAAGTATAATCTGTGAGTATACTTCGCTCAAATTTTCTGATGCAACCACAACTTATTATTGGTTGTATTAGTGATTGGTAAATAATAATTTTAACTCTATTTTTTAATTTTTTTATAAGAAAAAGTTGAATATTTTAGTTATCGGTGTAATATAAATATTTGTCTAAAGTAATTCCAAGGTATTTAACTCTGTTGGTTTCGGTAATATAATATTTTGATTCACTTATTTTGATACCAAACTATCTTTAGTTTTTTTTCGAATATTAATGGAGTACTTAGAAATTGGAAGTCTAAAAAGAATACTTTCACATTTACTTATCTTTATTTTAAGACACCAATTCCAATTGAATCTTTTACAACGATTTATACATAAAATGCAATACCGCGGATGCATTAGTTAAAAAATTATGATTTTTATCGTCTAAATAACATCGGCCCTAGACGGTTTACGTGGTGTGTTCAAAAAATATCGCGAGTTTTGTGTTTTTTCAAAAATTATTTATTTATTCATGAATATCTATTTTGTCCCCCATGAGATATTATACACTTGTGCTAACGGTTTTTCCAATCTTCGAAGCACTTTGAGTTGTTAGTGATATCGACAAAATATTGTTATTTAATTAAGGTTAAGATAAAGTAAAGTAAATCGGGAAATTGGCTAAATTAGAGGAAAATCAAAAAAAAAAAATTATAAACATAAATGGCTTTTGAGTGTTTGGTTTACGTTTGATCGCAAGACGAAGAGGTATTGTACCCTCTACCATTGGATAGAAATTGGCTTCGGGAAGTTAAAGGTCGTTTCTAGTTGAATGCAACTGAGTTTCTTGTTAGCCAAATTAAAGGCAGAAAATAACAGCATTATATTCGAAAAAACAGGTAATAATATAAAAACTTTTCTATTTTTACACCATTAAAATGTTAAAAGTTTATAACCGCCTTGCGATTCTCTGCATCTGGATGCTACTAACGTCCCGTCAGAGAGCAATAAGGAATACCCATGAGTCAGTCGCCAGTGAGCTATTGTATTCATCGCGTGACAGAAACAGCCAACCGTTCAATAATTCTTGAGAAGGTTAGATTTCTCAATATTATGAGTTCCAGAAATCATGGATACCCTTCTACCAACTTGCAAATGGTGAGAGTAAACATTTTTAAATTATTAATTGAAGTGACAAAGTTCATTATATTTATACATACTTATCCCAAGATTATGGCGGCAAATGCTAAGTACCCAAGAGCGCGGCACGATTATTTATTTGGAGCTCTTCCTGAAGAGTCATGC